ACATATTTGTACATCCTGCTTTCACAATTCATACTGAGATCTAATTCTCAGAAATCTTTCAGTTTTAGTTTATTTATCTTATACTTATTCTTCGGGTTGTTTGTTTATATTTTATTAAAATTTTGTGTTTTTATTTTTTCTTACAAAAAATACATATTTTATCAGATACAAATGTAATACAGCTGAATCTGATGGTTGTCAAAGAAAATAACTCATAGTGAACTGATATATATAACATTGATTTCCCTTTATTAGCTTTCACTTATTAACAAACAATAAAGCATACTGCAAAATGTCCAGAAGTATTACCTATTAATATCTTAAGCATCGTGCAAAGAGATCCAATGTTTTTGAACATATGTTCATAAGCGTTTGCTTAATATACCTGTATGTCTTAAATGATTATTTTTCGAATAATAAGAATGAAATATATGGAGATAACGAACAGTATTCAAGCTCAAAAGTCCATTAAACAATACAAAATAGGAGCAGAGCAAACACGGACATCCAAAACTTCAGAGGTGGGATCAGGTGCCATGGAGGAGTGAGCATCCCCTGCCGACCGGTCACACCCGCCGTATGTTCCTTGTCATGATCGGTAGATAACGGGAAAATTCGCCGACAGTTCAGTATGTAAATAATGGCCTAACAAGTAGTATGAAAACGTCAGTCAGCATTTGACTCAATGATAAATTGTATTTGCTGACAAGGTCATTGTATCGACCATAGAACTTACGAAATGATGACTTCTAACGAGACTGCTGATATTCTTGTTTCATCAACTTGTTTGTCAGTAACTTACCTTGTTTTAGAAATCGTACATACGTAGAGCATGCTCTTGCGTATCGAATCAACTGAGAGAATTAAGCCCCGTATGCAGGTGATGAAGGTATATTGAAAAGGGAAGTTGATGATTGAAAAGTCATCACGTTTATCATAAAGCTTGGTTGTTAGATTACCATTAACGTCTTTTTCAAGTAAAATATCCAAATATGAAACAGATGTGTCAGACTTTGTGGTATCTTTTATCTCAAGCTCACCGGGATATATCGTATCGACATAAGAATGGAAATAACCATTGATATTTACGTTTTCCAATGTCTTTCTCGGAGATAAATCTACAAATAAGGTAATGGCTTTATAACCCCATAAATCGGTTTGCTCAGCATGTGACAGAATTGCATGGATTCGGCGTTTATGCAAATTATAACGCGAGCAAATTGATTGATCACATCATAAAACCAAAAAAACTAGACAGTTATTCCTTTATTAATTGACAATACGTTGTCGATATATCTAAATGTCGAGTAGATGGCCACAGCAAGTGTTTTCGTCTTTTCACGTATAGGATAAGAAAAGTCGTCTAATTTAGAAGATAAAATATCCTTTAAGAAACAGTATTTTCCAGTTTTTATTTTCCTCTGTGGTTGTTGATTGAGGAACGGTAATATATAATGGTAAAGTAAAGTTGTCTGACTTCTCAACATTACTTCCCATTCCCTGAAAATTAAAAAAAATATCATTATGAAATGGTATCCAACTACTGCATTTGGCAAAACGCCAGTCTAAAGTTTTTTCTCTTTAACAACCCCGTCTACTGAACTATTAGTGTTTAATGGCAAATACTGCAACAAACATAATGCTACTATTAAACATAGAAAGAGGAAACGAACCCGTAAGAGCATCCTCATGCTGAAATAGGACGATTTGCCGAAGCTTGTAAAAATTGTAAATGACTGACTAACGAGAAAATTTCCATTCTTAAATCGCATATTGCGTGTCTTTGTACCGCGATGAAGAAAACATAATGAAACTACGTAAAATAAAAAAAGTTAGTGACTGAAATATATGGAGATAACGAACAGTATTCAAGCTCAAACGTCCTTTAAACAATATAAAATAGGAGCAGAGCAAACACGGACCTCCAAAACATCAGAGTAGGGATCAGGTGCCATGGGGGAGTGAGTGAATTGATTGATTGATTGATTGATTGATAGTATTTTTTAAGTCCTATTGAAGAATTTTTCACTCAAATATAGACATCTCAAAATACAGTAATACAGAGAAAAATTCCTCCCAATTCAATGAAGCAAGTGTGGTCAAATGCAATACAATGTACTATGTAATAATAGATGGGACATTACCATCTAGGCTGCATGATATATTTATTGTTGTGGACCGGTATCCATCGTCTAAATGGAGTTTATGTGAATTTTAATGACACCCGTTTATTTAGAAGGATATCAGTATCATTCAGCAAGTAAATACAAAACGTAAATTATAAATCCTTACGTAATTTATGTAGTACTTTACGAAATAGCTCCCTGAAACAACTTGTAACTTTAAATATGATATGACAATGAACAAAATGAATAAAACGGTGATCTATCTCAAAAAATGTACAAACAATACATTTCTTGGTATGAACCACGTCAGCCAAAATACGACCAAATGATAGGTTTTATTTATTTAGTATTTACACAAATGCTGACTTTAAGCGAGGTTGTTCAAATCCCCGTAACATCAACATTTCTGTGAGAAGCCTGCCTCGGTTTAAAGACTGATCGTACTCAGAGCAACTTCTTGTTAATCGAATAAATTGGGGGATATTCATTTCTTTTTATTGGAAAATCAGTTCTCTATATTATCAAAAAGTTATATATATTTTATTATTTATCGTGATTAGTTAGTACATGTAGTTGTTTTAAACGTAAAAATATACTGCTGGTGGACTGTTAGTCCCCGAGGGCCTCTACAGCCCAGTAACCTAGTACTTCAGTACTACCTTGAGAATACGGATATATATTTGAAACCTGTGTTAAAATTTAGAAATTTATTTCAAAATTAAGAATTATCTCCCTCATGCATAGCTCTGACCCTTCGACGTATTTGGCTCCAATTTTGGCATTTTTTCAGCTCTTCCAAGTCTTTTTTGTTTAAATATTTTTGTTTTCCAACGTTTCGGCTTGATCATCACTGAAAGAAATAATTTGTCGAAATGCGCATCTGGTGTATCGAAATTAGATAATTTACATTATGACCCCTGGGTCGAGGCCTATGCTGGTGGACTGATAGTCCCCAAAGGCCTCTACAGCCCAGTTACCTAGCACTTCGGTACTAGCTTGAGAATACGGATATATATTTGAAACCTGTGGTAAAATTTAGAAATTTATTTCAAAATTAAGGATTATCTCCCTCATGCAAAGTTCTGATCCTTCGACGTATTTGGCTCCAATTTTTGGCATTTTTTCAGCTCTTCCAAGTCTTTTTTTATTTAAAAAGGGTAGGGTGGGGCCACAATGGACGATCAAAGTTTTCATAGAGTATATAGGAAAAATCTTCAAAAATCTTCTTCTCAAGAACAGCAAAGCTATGATTGGTTATATTTATGTGGAAGCATCCTCAGGTGGTGTAGATTCAAATTTGTTCAAATCATGACCCCGGGGGTAGGTTGGGGCCACAATGACCGATCAAAGTTTTACATAGGAATATATAGTAAAAATCTTTAATAATCTTCTCAAGAACAGCAAAGCCATATTTATATGGAAGCATCCTCAGATAGTGTAGAATCAAGTTTGTTTAAATCATAACCTCTAGGGGTAGGTTGGGGCCACAATGAAAGTTCAAACTTGTAGAGAAAAAAAGTCACAGTTAGTCAAAAAATTATGTTAGCATCCTTAGTTAGTGTAAATTTAATTTTGTTCAAAACATACCTCCTCCACTCCCTTTTAGGGGTAGGTTGGGACCACTTATGCATTTAAGCTTTTCAGTATTAAACTGATTTTTCCTTTTTTCCTAGCCACAGTGCTCAGGTGAGCGATGTGCCCATGGGCCTCTTGTTTTAAGAAGAATGACCTCAAGATCCTGACTTTTTCAACGATAAACTATTTTTCTTTCAGTGTTAGTTGTTACTTTTTCCCCTACATTTGAGCTAGTAACTTTTTACTTGGGGCTATTGATTTTATTGCTGCCTGTGCTCCGTGGGCTAGTGCTAGAATTTTTTAATTGCACACCCCTGTATCCCTTCAGATTTTGAAGCTTACGCTAATTTCGTCTTGTGCAAAACATCTTGTATAAAACGACCAAGAATTTTCATTTTATGTATCTCAAGGTGATTCAAGGATCTTTGAAGTCTGAGATACAGTCCTGTAAAAAGTTGACATTTGTACCCCATAAAAGTACAAATAAGTATAAATTTCTAGAGAAATCGAATATTCTTTAATCTAGCCTTAGATACCAATGTTTATTGGCAAGATATGAAATCAGAAGTCATCTGTGATGTTTTACAATGATGGCAAAAGTTTTTTACACTATGTATTTTAAAACAATTGAAGTAAACAGAAAAAAATAAAGTACTGTATAAGTATAAAGACACATGAATTTCTCCAAATGCCTGGAAACTTTATTTCTTTTATCCTAAAATATAATTGGTGATCAATTTTCAATTAGAAAATGCATAGCAGGAGTTTTTATTTGCATTTCCTGAAAATTTAATTGAGATTTGATATTTTCCCTATATAATATGATTAATTTTAATAATAAAATCTGAAGAATTTTCTTGGGTAAATATTCATTAATTTGAAAAATCAGAGTCATTTTCGTGAGTATTTTCAATTACTCAATGCCTTATTTTCTGAACCTGAGGATCCGACTACCTTAATGATACTTTCGCAGAATCTTTATCACATAGTGCCATTGTGAACCTCCTATTTTATTTTTTGATCTAATCGACACTTATTTAGGATCTCCCATAGAAGAACATGGACTTATAAACATTATAAACATATGGGAGGTGGGGGGTATCATTTTGTGAGCTCACTACTCATAGTTCCTCTAGTTTTAACTTAAATCTGGGTTGTTGTTGAGTTGCTTATTTTTGATAGAACAAATCAGATGAATATGACACTTGTGTCCAATTTTGTTTGTGCTAATTTATAGTATGTTTATAGTAATTCACAGAATGCAAGAAAATGTCTGGTGTTCTTTGGTGTCTTTGGTGTCTATTTCACGAATTGGATGACTTTCATTTTCCCTGAATTGATTAACCCAACCCACAGCCTGCCCTCACTGTCCACACTCAGTCCAGTAGGACGCTCTAGTCCACAATTATCCACACACCTAAGTAGTTGTCCATTCTGATCTATGATGTGTAGACAGTCATTGAATTCATCAGCCACAATGATGTGACCCATGGAGTCTGTCACTATTTGACAAGGACAGAATGATTTCTTCCCCCCTGGAGGTTTGTTGTATCTGAATCTGACTTTTCCTGTCCTGTCCACCACTACCACTGCTTTAGCATTGATATCAGAGACCACTATGTCTCCATTGTTGTTCTCCACCACAAACATTCCATATTCTCCTCTTTGATAGATTGGATCACCTTGTTCATCTTTATCTATTTCCTGTGTCACTCTTTGTCCCTGATATTGGACTATTTTATTTTTATGATCAGTAGTACATATACTAACTAGGATGTCCCCTGTCCTGGTACAACACACTCCTCGTGGATACCAGCCCCTTGGTATGGTGACCAGTGTCTCTGTCTTCCCATCTCTGACAATGTTCACGGTTCTATTGGGACCATCACTGTATATCAGTTCTTTCTGTCTGTTCACTGTAATGTCATTAGGGAAGTCCTTACATGTACTGGTGACAATGTCTTGTACAGCTCCATGTATGTCCACATGGGTTATCCTTTTGTCTCTACCACTAACCCAAGCTTTATCTGATCCTACACAGGCCACTTTATTTAACTTTTTAACATTTGTTGGAATGTTTGCAATCAATTTGGCTTCTTCTAATAATTTTTTAACATATAAGAAGGAGACTTCATCTGTCAGACTGGATAGTGATGTCTGTGTCAATGTAGCCTTGTATTCTCCTAATTCAATGCTGAGTTCTCTCCCTTGGACTGTGTTTGTTTGAAGAGAGGGCAATGATAAATCAGGTATTTGTGGAATGTTTTCGTATTCCTTTAGTTTGGATTTGTAGTTGTTGACATCAGACACTTTGTTGGATTTCAGGATTTCTTTGTTTTCCTTAACAGTTTGGATCATACTGGAATTCTGACGTCTGATTTTGGACTGGCATGATTTTAGAGTTGTAATATGTTGATCTCTTATTGAAAGGATCAGGGATTCAATTTTGTTAAAGATGGTGTCCACCTCTAGGTGCCATTGTTTCCTTTGATTTTTAGCTTGTATCTCCAGTTGTACAAAGTGGGCTGTGGAACATGAAATTTCATTTTCAGCATCTGTATCTTTTTCTCTGTTGTTGGGAATAATGCCTTCAATTTCTTCTGTTTCTCTTTTAATTTTTTCTCTCATTTTGGTAATTATATCTGCCATGTCTTCAGACATGTGACCTTTATGTTGACCTGTGAGACATTTGATGCAGACTGGGACATCACACTGTTGACAGTGGGCCTCACATCTCTGGTGGGAATGAGATGTACACTGAGGGAACACAAGCTGTACTGTACGCTTTGTGAAAGGAACAATGTCATGCTTCATGGACTTGAGGCTGTTGACATGTTTATTGATGCAGTCTTCACACAGACTGACTTGGCAGCTGTTACAGAATTGCTGGACAGGTTTGACACAAAGGTCACAGGTTATGAGTTCCTGTGCCTGGGTGGTGGAGGTGGCCATGTTATCCCCAGATACTAACCATACTAACCATATCTGTGAAATATAAATGACTAAAGATGATAGAAAAGTCATTTGATTACCTGAATACCAGATGTTAGCTATTGCTACCTATGGATACACATTTTGAACATTTTCAGCTGAACAGATATTTCAAACACTCATAGTTTAAATTGTATATCATTTAAGGAAATACAGTATGCCTTGGTAACCCAGATCATATAAACATTAGTAAAGGGCTTTGTGTCTCTTTCTAAAGGGAAATAATAAGAAAACAGTGAAAATAAAATGGAGTTGTTTTAAGATTTTCTAATGAAGAATCCCTGGGTGAAAAAAATGAAAATTACGTGGAAGCTTCCTTGTACATAAGGATGGGTATCGCCAAAAATTTGTTTACCCCCCGCCCCCCCCCCCCCCCCAAAAAAAAAAAATCACGATAATATAATGATATTTTTACAAGCAAGTTATACAGTGATTTTAAATGATTATTCATAATGTTTCCTCAGAATACTGGAAAAACATACAATTGTCATGTAACTTCACTTTATTTATTTACATAATATAAAGCGTGTTTGGATACTAGGATGCAGGTCTATTACCGTTTTCAACATTATGTACAAAGGACATTTGAAAAGTTTTGAGAAATGTTTGATAAAATATGAACCGTTTAACAGAAATTACTGAGTTTGCTATCATTGGACAGATCACAAAAATATACACATAATGTGACGTCACTTTGTAAAATTGATGACGTAATAACTCAGAGAATGACGTCAGAATCTCGAATGTTTAGCATATACTGACCATAAAAATGATGTAACAAGAGACACAATTAAACGAGGCGGAGTCTAATTCGAGTACGCATGTCTGCGCAGCTTTTTAGTTTCATGCAGTCGTAGGCGCAACATAACAAATATCCTACGTATTGTAATTTTAATACAACATTAACATTATATCATATTATCTTTAAAGTTCATGGGTCTAAAACTGTGCTTTTTAGACAATAAGTAGGAATAAACGCTGAAATGACGTCTTAGACATTTTATTAAAAACTGTTGACAGTACATCAAAAGTAACATACCAGCAATCTAAACATGGTTATTTTGTACCAAAATAATTCATCTGTGCCGATATATACAAAATGTATGCCGTAATATGGCTAATTTAGAGGTATTGGGCATTGGAAAAAAATAAACTTTGTAATAATTCCTAGACCAAATCAGATGGTCAACTTTTTTGTAATTTCACAATTTTGTGCCTTTTTACAATAACTTTCATGTATTTGACTGAAAAGGAAATCCCTAGGGCAGAAAAACAAAAGAATATAGGGAAAATGGGAAAATTTGGCGCTTTTCCAACAAATTCCCATGGGGTCCAATAGTAAAACTTGACAACTTTTGAGATGGGCCCCTAAGAAATTGGGATGGTAAACATTTCATTTTTTATCTTAAAATGATTAGTATAATAGTGAAAATTCATTCAAGAACTTTTATCAAAATATCTAGGATAGAAGTAATTAGACTCGGCCTCGTTTAGTGAAATTAAATTTTTAAAGTCAAGTTTTGTTCGTTACTCGGATGCACACTAACGGACACAACTGCCAGTTGGAAGAATGGTTACATAGACTACAGTCTATCAAATGGAGTTATATTCAGGTGCTTCTATAGTTCTGAGGTGGTTTAAGAGTGTGTCAAACACAAACATAGCATGTGTTAATCGAATCTCGCGCAAATATTGGGTAAAAAAGACGCTACTGTGAGAAAATCACAAAGTTGACAATCACAGGAGAATAGTGGACGTTGTTACAGAATATGCTAGCATTAATTCATCAGGTGTTTTAACCAATTTTGTGGGAACGATTAAAGCTCAAGAGAGGCTAAGCTAAGGGTGTCCCATACTTTCTTGTAAAATCCAAAATGGCGCTGATGTTGTTCTAACCCCACCTTAACTCGATATGTTCGAAAATTTTAAATCATGGAAAATAAAAACTCGATATGCTCGAAAATTATAAATCATGGAAAATAAATTAGATTGTTCAAGGCAATGAAAGTCATATTTAATTTTTGAGTCGAAAGTCAAAAGCAATAGTGAGTTTTGGATCGCCAAAGTTGAAATAGTATGAAAAAAATACTCACAGAAACATGTCCGGGGGAAGGCTTTTGTACGTTTTATTCGTAAACAGTAAGAGTCCTGATACTCAAGATACATTTGTGGAAAACTGCATTGTTCCACTTCAGTTTTATATAGAATATGTTTTATTTAATAGAATGGAGAGCTATATAATTGATCAAATCTCCAGCTATAGCATATAAATAAAATTCTTTGATGAATACCTAGGATAACATAACTGGACATAAACTCTGCTTATTAACCAAGCAAAAAATAAAATATGGAATTGCTGATTTACAGCACCATTCTTATAGTCTAACTCCACCTCCATGCAAATTTTCTTTTAAATTTCTTGTCAAAGATGCCTTTGACAGCATTTTTTCGATGTTCTCATGTGGACAAAAAACGCAACTTTTCAATATGCTAAACATTTGAGATTCTGATGTCATTTTTGGAGTTATTACGTCATAAATATAAGAATGTGACGTTCATAAAAGTGCAAATTTTCCAGCTCTTTTCAAGGGAATCAAACTTACTAACTTCTGTGAAATGGTTCATATTTTAGCAAGCAGTTCTCAGAACTAACTCTCCATTTCCTTTATTTTTCAAAATTATTTTTGGTAGGATCATTATGTGAAATTTGATTTTCTGAGATAACTGTGAAGCAAAACTAAAGAAGATAATTGCTACGAAACATACATATCTTGATCAGGATACGTCGTCTTATATTTAATGACTGAATAAATTATCTTATTTCCCAAGTAGATAACAAAGTTATAAAGCGTAATTACCATGAAAGAAAACAGATAACTTACCCAATTTATAAATGAATGGTATACTCTAGAATTGCGAATGCAAAAACAATGCCATTTATACACTTGGTGGAAACCAAGTGTTAAGTTTATTGTTTAATTTATAAATTAATGTGAACTAGATACAAACCCTAGAACGTGCACCACTTACTTGCACAGTGCGGTTTGTTTCGTTTTGTGTACGGTACGGTACGCTTTGTGAACAGTACGGTTCACTTTGTGCACAGTACGTTTCTTGCACAGAGCGATTCGTTTTGTGAATGGTACGCTTTGGTAAAGGTATATAAATAAAATGGGCGGAGCCTGTACGCTTTAGTTTATGATTGGCTACTTAATAAAGTGGTTTATTTCTTTATTATAATCTCTTTATTTTATATAAATGGAAGGGCGGTGTCATAAGCATGTATTTATTAACAAATTATTCTAAAGTTAAAGGTGTTATAAATATATCCTTTTTACAGCTGTTTTTTCATTATTACATGTAACTAGTTTTCTTATTAACTGTATCTTTTTTTTCTTTTAATTTTCGTAATTGAATACAATTATCATTTTAAATTTTCACTTATGACACTTTTAAACAAATTAGTTTGATTTGATAAATCCCTCAGTCGTTTATTACATCTACCATTTTTTTTATGTTCTTGTCGCTGTATAAAAAAAATAATCTTCTGACCGAATGATCAAACAAACGATAAAAGATAAGTAGGTTTTATTTTATTTGCGAGATATTTTATTATTTTTTTTTTACATAGATTCCTTTGGTGTTTAGGTCACTAGGAAAATATACATTAAAAAGTAATCAGTAGAAGTGCACATAATTAGTGCAAATAATTACTTTATTTTCTGTGTGTATATAAAATGATATAAATTTTCCATCAATGTGTATATAAAAACGCATTTTAAAGGGAAGTTACAATCAAGAAAATGATTACAAATCCATCTACAATGTATATATATATATATATATATATATATATATATATATATATATATATATATATATATATATATATATATATATATATATATATATATATATATATAAGACTGCTAAGACAGATTTCCGAAATAATCTGTCAAAATGTTAGAAATAAATAATTCGTTTTGAATAATCTAGAAAAAAAATAATATGCACCCATGCATGTCTTCAAAAATTTTGAAAATGAATAATCCGTCCATGCCGGGTGCTACTCCCCCTCCCCTTTTTTGTTTCCTTATCAAACTTTTTTTGGTGAAGATCTAGAAGAAAAGCTGACTCTGACTGCACATGAAATTCTGTTTATTTGCTGATTAAAACTGGTTCTTTGTTGTAAACTTACTGTTTAAGACAGTAAACTGTTGATACACGTGTGAATATGTAGGCATATCTGGACTAACGAGATTAGATACAGTTTAATATACAAAGCTAAAGTTTTTACCTGTGCGACTGTGATGACAATACTTGATCGAAATTTTCAAACGTTTTAGAGTGAACAATGAAAGTATATAGAGAAGTCAGTCTAGATAACGTTATGTGAACGGTATGGTTCGCTTAGTGCACGATACGGCACACTTCTTGCAGAGAAACAGTTCATTTTTTGTACGGTATGGTTCATTTTGTGCATGGTACGGTACGCTTCTTACACGGAACGGTTTGTTTTGTGTATGGTTTGGTTCGTTTTGTGCATGGTACGGTAAGCTTCTTGCACGGAACGCTTCGTTTCGTTTCTGAGGTGTAGTAGCACGTTTTTGGGTCTGTAACAATATACATTTCTATCAGAAAAATTCACTTGCTCAATCGGACAAGTACGTTGACAGTTTCACTTGTCGAACTGAAATTTACTTGTCCCGGGCAATCAGACAACTGTTAATGTGTACCTAAATACCGGTATGTTAGTCTCTGTATCACGATACGTATCACACAATTAAAAATCACGATATACCGATAAAATCGCACAACCCTACTTGTACATGTACAGTCATGATCAATTCTCAATAAACCACCACCTTCTGCAATTTAGAAATCATGGCAACCAGTGTAATGAATTTGGCAATTTATGAATTTGCAAACTTTTTCTTCATATTGTAAATCTGTCTGAATTTTCTGTCCCAGAGAG